TCTCGCCCGCAGGTGGAACCAGCTCCCGCTCTGCTGATCATGGTCAACAAGACCTTAAATTACTGGGGTCCCGGTTTTGAGGAGGACGTTATCAACATCAACGTGGGGGGGCTGAGGAGGCGGCTCAGCTCCAGCGCCCTCTCCAAGTTCCCCGACACCCGCCTGGGCCGCCTGCTCTCCTGCGATTCAGAGGAGTCCATCCTGCAGCTCTGCGATGACTACGACGTGAGCGCCCGGGAGTTCTACTTCGACCGAAACCCCGGCTTCTTCCTCTACGTGCTCCACTTCTACCAGACGGGGAAGCTGCACGTGATGGAGGAGCTGTGCGTCTTCTCCTTCTGCCAGGAGATCGAGTACTGGGGCATCAATGAGTTCTTCCTGGACTCCTGCTGCAGCTACCGCTACCACGAGCGCAAGCTGGAGAGCCGGCACCACAACTGGGATGAGGAGAGCGAGGTCAGCAGCGTGGACACGTCCCCCGATGAGATCTCCGACATCAACCACGACCTGCTGCGCTACAGCACGCTGCGCTGCGGCAATGTGCGCAAGCGCCTCTGGCTCACCATGGAGAACCCCGGCTACTCCATCCCCAGCAAACTCTTCAGCTTCGTGTCCATCAGCGTGGTGCTGGTTTCCATCGCCACCATGTGCATCCACAGCATGCCCGAGTACCAGGAGGTGGATGAGAATGGCACCGTGCTCGATGAACCCATCCTGCACAAGCTGGAGTATTTCTGCATCTCCTGGTTCACCTTCGAAGTGTCTTCCCGCCTCCTACTCTCCCCCAACCCCAGGAAGTTCTTCACGCACCCGCTGAACCTCATTGACATTGTCTCAGTGCTGCCCTTCTACTTCACCCTCGCAGTGGATGTGACCATGGGCAGTGACTCGGAGCTGGGCAACCTGGGCAAGGTGGTGCAGGTGTTCCGGCTCATGAGGATATTCCGGGTGCTGAAGCTGGCTCGGCACTCCACCGGACTGAGGTCGCTGGGGGCCACCTTGAAGGTAAATGGGCTCTCTACTCCTTCTGGGCAAGAAGGAGACCTCTGGTATGGCTGGGGCATGTGGACATGCCCATTCCCAGGGAGGTACCAGCTCTGGGCAATGTCTGCAAAGCTTGCTTGGGGTGGTGGGCTGGGTTGTTGGTTTGTGTGTCTGCTAAAGCAACCACGTGTGAGGAGCACTGCATGAGTCCTCTTTGCATACACACTCAGAGCAAACAGAAATTCACACCGTTGCTCATAGACTTTGCTTCATGCAGAAGTGGTGCTTCCAGGGACTCAGCCACCCCTTCCCCACCATGGTGTGCAAACCCCGTTACACGGTGTTGGAACAGACTCAGCCATGCCTGGGTGGGTGGTGGTGTCCCACCAGAAGAGGAGCTAGTCGGGCTGTGAGTGACCTGCTGAGCAGGTCAGCAGCTGCTGGGTATGCCAGCACCAGTGTGTGTGGCTTGGAGCTGCTCCTGTCCTCAGTCTGGGAGAAGGGGGAACCTCCTGAGGACATGCTGCCAGCTGGCTGGAGGTCAGCATCCAACCCCTCGTGTCTGCCTGTCTAGGGAGACAGGGATCCTGGTCCAGCCGAGGTGATGCTTGGATGCTCCAGGGTACGGTGAGGTTGGGACTGACACATGGTCAGCCATGGATGACACAGGGCAGCAATAGAAAAGCAAAGGATTAGTGGCACAGCCTGGGACACCCAGCCCATGCCCCCAGCAGAGCCCGAGCTACCAGCAGCTGCCCCTCTGTGTGCTGGGAAAGCTCGGGGAAAGCCCAGCATGCAGGGCTGGGGGAGGCTTCCTCAGGAGGAAGAGCTGGAGGCAGAGATGCTGAGACAGCAAAGGACCACAGTTGAGGCACGTGGGTTTGGTGAGAAGTGATCCGCATTCTCCATGGCACGCCCCAAGGCTGTGTCTCTCCAGACCCCCTCTGCAGCACCCCCAGCCTCTGGGGACAGACCAAGAGCAGCTGTGACAAGAGTCAAAGCATGAAGCCATCGTGAAACCCTCCCCGGGCTGGCACTGCAGCCCAGACCTCCATCCCTGCGCTCGGCTGCACAGCACGGACCAGCC